CCTCTGGACTCCGAAGCCCCCGACTCTGCGGCACTCGGCCCACCCAGCACCATCACCAGCCCCTGGCCCCTTCCGGGACGCCACCGCCACCCCCACCTCCCGCTGCGGTCAGGCAGGTGTCGCAATCCCAAGGCCTCACTCTGAAGGGTTACAGGAGGAGCGGTTATAATCTTCACGCGCCACCAGTTGCAGTCGTGACTGTCCCGTTTAAGGCAGATCCACTCGTCATTCCCTCGGAGGGGACAAGGGGTGCTGGGCAGGAGTTGTTTTCCTCTCCCACGGTAGGAACAGTGGATGGTGCCAACAGTGGAAAAACAGTTAAGAAATAACGGCAGAGGCAGATGAGGTAGGAACATGGGCGTTTGGGAGACACACAGGACGCCTGCACCATTGAAGTCACTGGGGAGGAGCGGAGTGCAGGCCACACTGCTGTTTGTTGGCCTGAACCTGAGGCAATATTTCATTGGGCTGCTCTGGGCCAACTGGGGTTTCACCTGCACAGAGCAGCCACCCCACAGCAACCCAACCCCCTGTCCGCGGCCACCGAGTCAGTCTGCAAACCTGGCTCAGACTCAGTTTGCTCAACAAGCCCCCAACTCCACCCAGTTTATTAGCATACCACCAAAAGAGCCCTACCACCCCCTCGGGGATCGGTGTTTAACTGATGGCCACTGTCCTCAAGAGCCAATGGTGCTGACTCTAAGATGTAGGCAGGGTGCTGCTCTGGACTGCCCAAAGAGATAAGGCAGCGATTCTGCAGAGCCCATCCATAAGGGAGCTATCGCGGGCACAGTGGAGTGTCTCCCTACACGACCAACAGAGTACTGACAGGCCTCCACACACTCTAATGTCACACAGGGCCCTGGGCCCAGCGCTGGTCCACAGCGTTGACACAGCTCAGGAGGGAGGGATCGGCAGCCGCTTCCGTGAAGAAACAGTGGAATCCCAGGCCTGTCACCTACCTGGCCTTTGTGACACCGGGTGACAGGGCCAGGGACCTTGATGTTTGGAGGGCATTCCTGCCCCCAGGCATTTGACCAAGCAGTGCCCGCAGATGCCTGTATAGCAGCTGGCCTCCTCCAACAAGGGGTGGCAGTTTCCAGCTGGCACAGTGAGTACAAAGGCCCTTTGTCACAGCCAGTGCTCGCCCGCTGGCTTCACCCGCTGCATGGCAGCCACACAGAACCGTGTCACCCTGTCTGCAGCTTTCAGGGTGCTTTTGTGGAGCCAGCTCCACTCCTCCTCATGTCTTTGCAGCAGCAGCAGGGGCCATAGCATTGTACCCATTTTACAGATTCGGAAATCCAAGGCAGGCAGAGGGCTGTCTCAACTGGAACGTGATGGTGGTCAGGGCCAGTGAGGGCCCTGGGGGTCCTGACCACTCCCCATCTCTGCACATCTGTCTTTCCTGGAGAAGGAATTGGGGATGGGGCCATGGTCAGCAGCTCTGGGACTGGTCCTGCACCCTCTGCCTGGCTCCCAGCATGAAGGGGGCAGAGGGGTGTCTGAAGGTAGAGACCCCACACCATGCAGAGCAAGACTGGGTTGTTGTTGTTGTTGTTGTTAGGTGCTTTCGAGTCGTTTCCGATTCATAGCACCCCATGCACAGCAGAACGAAACACTGCCCAATCTCGCATCAGCTCCGTGATCCCTGCTATACTTGAGTCCATCATCGCAGCCACCGTGTCAATGCAACTCGTTGAAGGCCTCCCCCTCTTTTGTCGACCTTCCACCCTACCAAGCGTGACATCCTTCTCCAAGGAATGATCCCTCTGACAACATGACCAAAATAGGTGAGACGAAGTCTGGCCATTCTTGCTTCCAAGGGGCATTTCGGGTGCACTTCCTCCAGGACAGATTTGTTAGTTCTTTTAACAGTCCATGGGACTTTCAGCATCCTTCGCCAGCACCACAACTCAGAAGCATCAACTCTTTTTCGGTCTTCCTTATTCATTGTCCAGCTCTCACATGCATTAGAGGCATTCCATTGGGTTGGCAGCTTCTTATTCTCTGATCCACTCAGGAAGCCTGATGTTGGGAGGAGGGGTTTCCAGTGGGTAGAAGCTTCCCACAGAAGCTTCCAGAAGGAAGCTCCGAGTCTGGGATGAGAGGTGTCATGGCATGAGGGTGGGGAGGTGGGAGGAGATACACTCATGACCAGTACAGTGGGGTCATTATGCCTTCCAGCCTCAGTCTTGTACCACCCACCAGATGACTGGGTGGGACTATGCAAATGAGCCCCTGTGGCAGCAAGGGAATTGGACAGTTTTGTGAATGCAGATGAGGTGCATGGAACACTTGTAGGAACCTGGTCAACCCTGCCATCGCACTCGATTAAAAGGAGCCAACCCTCACCACCACCAAGAAGAGCAAGGAGCAGAGGTTGTCCTTTGGCCCCAGGCTCCCTGTTCTCAGAGCCTTCCGGACCCAGGGCCCAGAGAGAGCTGTAACACTGGAGCCAGCGGGAGCCAGCAGCGGGGGCTCAGCAGGCGAGGCTTGCTGGCAGAGTGGGGAGCCTCTGGACGCGCCGGCAACGCTGAAGAGCTGTGTAACACTTGCTGGTGGGACAGAGGCGAGGCTGAGCGCGAGGGCTGATCTGAGAGCCAAGGGACAGAGAGGCCAGCCTGATGGAAGAGCTGTATCCTGAGTTGTCCCTGTTACCTCCAAGTTGTTCCTGATCCAGAATCGTAGCCTGGTACATAGTGCCTAAGGCATTTGACTGCTAACCAGAAAGCTGGCGGTTCAAACCCACCAGCCACTCCTCAGAAGAAAGGTTGGGCAATCTATTTCCGTAGAGATAGCACCTCAGAAACCCAAGGAGGAGTCACTATGAGTCAGGACCAACTCGATGGCAGTGAGGTTTTTTTTTTTTTTTTTGGTTACTTCCCTAATAAACCCCATAATCATAACTGTGGTCTGTGAGTTCTATGTGGCCTCTGCAACAAATTGCCAAACTCAGTAGAGAAGCAGTGAGTGTCTGGGCTGGACAGCTGATGTCACAGTTAGTAAGAAGGTTGGAAGGTGGAGATATGTCTGACCTCCACTTCATCGGGACCAGCCCTGGCCTCATGCTGTGATCTATATTCTCCCAATGAAGTTAGAGGCGGTCTGATGCCACCATCATGCCATTTTTACACAGTGACACTGCATGGCCCTGGGTTTGGAGGAGGGTCAGGGTGTCCAAGGGCCCAGGCAGGGGTAGGCGGGGTGCCCAGGAGGCAGGAGACCGAGTCAGACCAGGCAGTGAACTCAACCAGCCATGTAGGTTTCAGGTGCTCCCTGCCCTTCCCACCCCAGGGGATGACCAGTGACTCAGAGCCCACCTGCCTGCAGGAACCCCAGCCAGAATGGTTCCAAATGTTCCAGGCAGTCCAGTTCAGACTTCAGGCTGGGGGGCTGCAGGGATGTGGAGGGGCTGCCTGGAGCCTTTGCTGTGAGTGGACATCGTACAATATCCAGAGTCCCTCCCCCTGCAGTGGATGAGGCTGGAGGACCACAGGGACAGCTATGTCGCCATTTTCCCCAAATGTGGCTGGGCTGGTCCCTGAGCAGAACCACCAGCACAGCCTCCTGGCCCCCAGCTGCCCCTGCCCCAGGCCCTGCAGGCCACATGCCCTGAGAAGCCCTGTGCAGAATGGTTTTACAAAGACCACCCTCCTCTCCCCGTCTGGGCCACGTGCTTGCCTCGGCAACGGAGGAGGGTCTGGCCGCAGCTCAGGAGAGGTGTCCACTGTGCCGGTGCAGCCTCAGACACCCGAGGGACCGGAGCCAGCCCTGCAGGTGGCCAGGTGCCTTCTTCCCAGCAGTCACTCTGCCTCCCAGGCTTCAGCCCAGCCCCCACCCCACACACAGCCTGGATGTCTGGGGAAGCCCCAGCAGCCTCCATGTCCAGAGTGACCACGAGGACAGAGAGGGGCTAAGACGTGTCCTTCCCTGTCTCCAGGCCTCCACTTCTGCCACCGCCTTAACATAGCAGCAAAGCAAGGGGTGACTGAAGGTCAGATCAAGACCCACCCATGGCCCCACCCACTCTCACCCCTTCCTGGCCATGTGCCCGCATCTCCTCCAGCCACAGACCCCTAGCCTGTCCCTCCTGCCTCAGGGCCTTGGCACGGTCTGCCTGCGATCCTCCGGCCCGGGCCTTTCTCCAGAGTCACCTACGGCCAACCCTGCAGCCTTCCTGCGCTTTGGGGCTGAGGACAGAACTGGCCATCTTCCAGGCCCCTGCCCTGAGGTTCTGGGGTCAGGGCAACTCTAGGGTGAAGAGCCTCTTCCTGCCCACTCCTTCTGACATGAAGGCCTGTTCCAGGCACAGCCTCATGGGCATCTAGGGGCAGCATCAAGTGGCAGCTCCTTGGTTTCCATCCACAGCTCAACAGGGCCCTCCCTGCCCACCTCCTCCCTGCCTGTGAGACCAGCACGTGGCACCACCACCACATACTGCGTCTGGGTTTTATTGGGGGATCTGTGTGTAGATTGTGTTCCCACGCGAGATCCCAGCTTCCCTGAGTCCTGGTCACTGCTGTGTCCTCATGCTGGGGGGATGGTGCCTGCACGCTCACAAAACCAGGCTGAGAACACGCATGGCAATTCATGAAGCAATGGTGAGAACACACGTAGGCACCCACGGGGCAGGGCCGAGAACATGCGTGAGCACTCATGGAGCAGCCCAGAGAACATGCGTGGCACGCACAGACTGGGGCCAAGAACATGCACAGGTGCTCACAGACGGGCTGGGTCCTCAAGTCTGCTCTGAGCAGCCATGGCGCTGTCTGCCAACCCCACACTCCTCATTCCAGGGCGGACTGCAGAGTTGCACGTGCTGCAGGAGGGTACCACGGGCTCAAGTTACGCTAAGCCCTGCCCACTGCCAGCTGACCGCAGGCCCAGAGCCCACAGAACAAGATCACAAGGGCTGTGGCAGGAAAAGAGGCTTGGCTGTGGCGCTCCCGCGGGGTCCCAGGGCTGGGCCCCCTCCCGAGGCATGGGGGCACCACTGCCTAGTCCCGGGGCCAGAGGAGCTGGACTGCGGCTGCTCCGAGAATGGCTCCAAGGGTCAGTGCCATAAGGACAATGCTGGCCACCCAGACCCCATAGCTCTCTGCCTGATGTGGGACTGGCGCCTGGGCCGGGACCATGTTGGTCATGTTCAGCATGTAGCCCAGTGTCCAGCCGATGTCCGTCCCACCAGCCTGTGGATCAGCACAGGGTCAGGGCCTCAGGGCGCTGCTCTGAGCCCCCACTCAGCGCAGCGTGTCAGGTGGGGCCCCCGAGTCACCTGTCTGCGGAACTCAATGCTGGGCCAGGTCTCCTCGTTGAAGCTGTAGCCCTCAAGCAGGAGTGTGAGGATGTACAGGCCAGAGGCACAGTAGTCCCGCAGCCAGCGGGCCTGCTCAGGGTAGCTCACTTCCACCTGTAGCCGAACAGGCCGAGGCGTCAGGACTGGGTGAGCCCCAGACCATGAACATGCCCTGTCCCAGTGAGGGGTGGCCAGGCTGAGACTGGACCACAGAAGGAGGAGTTGGGGGCTGGGCAGTCGGCAGAGAACTCTTCTCAGCTGTCCCTCTGGGGACTCATGGGACCTGTCAAGAGAAGCCCAGTGTGCCCCTACCTCACAGCTCCTGCTGGAGCACGGTGGCCGTGGCTGTCCTCCCTCCCAAACCCTGCCGCCCACACTGCCTGTGCCCCTGCCTGGTTCTGCCCGGCACCTGGCAGGCTTCTCCTGCCCACAGCCAAGCGCAGGGGCCAGAAGGGCCCAGCAGCCTGCAGTCTTAGGCCACTCACCAGCTTCCAGGGTCGCTGGCAGAACTCCCAGATAGTGGCGTTGACCGTGTCCAGGGGCTGTCCGGAGGTGATATTCAGGAAGTGGAAGGTGTAGAAAAAGTTGGAGAAGGCCTAGCAGGGGAGTGCAGCGTGGGTGCCCTGCTCCAGAGCTGGCAGCCAGCGGGACCCCCAGGTCCCACCAGGGGGCAGGGGCGGGGGGGTGGGGTGCTCACGTAGAACCGGCCCTGCACCGGGGGCTGGTAGACGCCTTCGAAGGCACAGTCCCCTCTGCCCTGGCAACTGGAGAAGTTGAAGAGGGCCCGGAGAGCTGAAACGCAGGCCCCGGGGTTCCCCGCGCCTTCAACCGTGAGGTTCTGGGCGGCGCCAGGTAGAGCCGAGGTGCCAACACAGGGCGACTCGAACAGGGGGGCCAGGGGCAGCGTGGCCCGGTAGCCGCTGTGGTAGCAGGGGTGGCGGACCAGGCCTGTCATGCTGTCCTGCGACGAGAGGGTCTGAGCACCTCGGGGCCAGGGCCCCCCACCCTGCCCTGCCCTGCCCTCGCGGGCCTGACCTGCACCAGCCGGGCCAGGAGCCGGCTCAGCATTTGGTCCCGCCCGAAGCACAAGTAGCTGTGCGTGTAGACGCGGTAGGGGGAGCCGTAGAGGCGGAAGAAAGCCTGCGCACTCGCGTCCAGGATGGGGCCCGCGGGGACGAAGGCGATCTGCGTGGAAGCGCCGCCCATGTCCAAGGCTCCCACCAGCGTCGCCTCGACGGGCCGGGCCCATTCTCCGGAGAAGGTGTACTGACCACGAACAAGGCTCACTCAGACCCCGGGACGCAGGCCCCGCCCACTAGCCCCACCCCGCCCCTCGGGACTCGCCACGCCCACCAGCCCAAACCCGCCCCACGGGACTCCGCCCCGCACTCTCACTCTCCGCCCCTCCGGCCCGGCCGTGCGTTCTGGGCCACGCCCCGCGGCAGCGGGTCGCCTCCCAGCGTCCCTGCCCTGACTTGCAGGGCCCAACCTTGCCCTTGGAGCCCGGGCCTCGGCGCCCTCTTCCCCGCCCCGCCCTCGGTCGGCCCGAAGCACCGTGAGCAGCATTCCCAGCACGTAGTTGATGGTGATCCAGCTAAAGGCTCCTTCGTCCAGCCCCGCCAGCAGCTCGGCGCCCCGAAAATCCACGGGAGATTGGCCCAGCACGCGGGCGACCTCCGCGAAGATGCTCTCGGCCTGTGAGCTGTTCTTCTGGCTGCGCGGAGCGGAAGCCGGGCTGGCTGGAGCCGGAGCCTCCCGCCCCAGGGTCCACTCCGCCCACCTCGGGGTCTCCTGGAGCGTCTGGCCTCTCACCTGAGCAGCCTCATGCCAGCCGTGGCCCCCAGAAACGTGGGCGTCTCCCGGTGCTTGGCCTCTGGGATCAGCGCCAGCGCCTCCTCCAGGCAGCCCCTCAGGCTCTCGCCCGCTAGGGCCGGGTTGGACGCATAGGAGGAGATCCCGGGCCCTGGAACAGAGTCTAAGACCAGGCTCTGGGGCTCTCGGGCTGAGTGGCCCGTAGTGAGAGAACCTCGTGGGAAAGGTCTCAGTGGGAACATTCCAGATCAAGCAGGGGAGAAGGGGCACGTGTCCTTACAAGAGACAGAATAGTGTCTGAGTACCCAATACACGAGGTAAGCACAGGCTTCCTTGTGCTTATTCACTAATCTGTAATAAACAATTTCATATGGGATGGGGTCAACCCACTGTCACGGAGTAGAAAGCGCCCCTAAAGGAGGAGTGGAGCTGCCCCACAGGGTCTCCAAGGCTGTCAATCTTCACGGAAGCAAAGCCCAAACCACACCCACTGCCGTGGAGTCCATTCCGACCCACAGCGCCCCTAGAGGACAGAGTGGAACTGCCCACAGGGTCTCCAAGGCTGTCAATCTTTACAAAAACACCCTGCCTCATCTTTCTCCCACCAAGAGGCTAGTGGGTTCGAGCTGCCAACCTTTTGGTTAGTAGCCAGATACGTTAACCACTGCATCCTCTGGGATGTGGTGAAAACCATGTGGAATTGCTCACTACAGAGTAGTAAGTAAGCAGAACCAAGCCTGTGCTTACCTTACTTATTGGGTAATCTGCCCCTGGAGGAGGAGAAGGCACAGAGCAGAGGAGAAGCCATGTGACCACAGAGGCAGAGATCAGAGCAATGTGGCCACAAACCAGGGAACACCTGGGACCACCAGAAGCTGGGAGAGGCCAGGAGGAGTCCTCTCTTAGAGCCTTGGAGGGAGCTGGATCCAGAGCAAGATGTGGACGTCTGCCACCAGAGCGGCGAGAGGACACATGAGGCCTGCCGCCCTCCTTCCTCCGTCAGGGTCCTAGGGGACAACTCCCCAGCAGAGTGGGAGTGGGTAGCCTTGGGGTCCAGAGGGAGGGGTGGCAGAGGGAACCAACCCTGGGAGGCAGGAGCAGGCAGGAAAAAACTCCCAAGGCCTTTTAGGAGCCTGTGGGGCACCCCAGCAGGAGCCCTTGGGCACCCACGTGGCCTCTCACAGTCCATTTTCTGTAGGTTGACTTGCTGGTCTGTGCGGGGTGACAGACGCAGCTCCTACACGGCTCCACACCTCACCCTCAGGAGTGCCCCGCTGGCTACCATGGGCAGCCCAGCTGTCCACTGACCTTCTACCTGGCAAGCCAGGGCCTGGCTGACAACACCTGTGTCATTCTCCTTGTTCGCAGGCCACTTATACACGAAGAGGGATGTATGGGAAGAGCCAGCATCGAACACAATCCCGAACTGGGGATGGCGTGAGTCAGGAGGATGGGGTTGGCATCACCCCAGCCCACGCCCCCACTGTAGACCAGCCAGCGCACCTTGGTGTCTGCAGGCAGGAGGACGCTGGTGGCCTCCACCAGGATGAGGATGAGTGCAGTGAGGCCCGAGGCAGCAGCAGCCCCCAGCAGGGCAGTGAGGACCCTCTCCTTCCAGGACAGCCCCATGACGGAGTAGCTGTCAACAATGGATGCCACCTGCCGCTCCTTCCACAGCCCTCTGGAGGCAGGGGCCCCGTGCACCTGTGTAAAAGCCCCACAATCTAGGTGTTTGCAGGAGAGAAAGGCACTCTGGTGGCACAGTGGTTACGGCGTTCAGCTGCCAACCACAAAGGTGGCAATTTTCACCAGCCTCCCTGCATGAGAAACATGAGGCAGTCTGCGTCATAAAGATTTACAGCCTCGAAAATGCTGTAGAGCGGTTCTACTCTGTCCTATAGGGTCACTAAGAGAATTGACTCAGTGGCAGCAGGCAGTGGATTTGGCATGAGGGAGGCCTCTGCTCAGGGTGCAGGCTACTTTATAGTCTAATTTACTTCTGCTTATCATTAACTTTAAGATAAGCAGTTCAAAAGAAGAATGAAGAAAACCAAAGACGCATGGAAACAATTAGTCCAAGGGGCTAGTGGATGGACCATGTGATCCTCAACCTCTATGACCATGAGACCAGAAGAACTAGACGGTGCCCGGCCACCATTGTCAACCACTCGGAGGGGGATCTGTGTAGGAGATCCTTGAAAGGGAGAACAATGTGGAACAAAACTCAAAATCATAAAAAACAAAAGAACAAAAACAAGTTTGCTGGTCTGTTACAGCCTGGTGAGACCTGAGACCGTCACCCCTAGTTACCCTTCAGGTCTGGAACTGAACTCACTAGCATGGCTTCAGCCAAATAATAGACAGGCAGATGGGGTGAACATTTATATCAGGTAGATACACTACTTGGAGTGATCAATCGATCAGTGATCAATTGTGGGAGAACAGAAGGGCTGTGTTTGCACAGAGAGACAGCTCAGTGTGAGCAGGAGTGCCTGGGAGGAAAGGACACAGGGAAGAGGTGACTGTCGGGAGGAAGTGGAAAGAAAGCTGTTACACTGTGGGGAATTGCAGTCAATGTATGAGATAATATGTATATGAACTGCTGTATGGAATGTGAATTTGCTCTAAGCTTTCACTCGAATCACTATAAAAATTAAAAAAAAAAAAAAAAGCAGCAGCAGCTTATAGCTACTGTTTTCAGCCATGTTTGCAGAAGGGCTTGAGAAATGTGGTGTGAACTAGAGGAAAGGAACAAATTGTTTTCTGGATGGCTGTGACAGCAAAGACCACAACAATGATTGTTGAAGAGATGCTTCAGAAAAGGGATCTTGGGAATCCTTGCAAAGATTAAAACACCGTGTTAGAACATAAAAGTCCTTCACTCAAGAAGTCTGTTAGTCAGTTATGGTATGGCTGTGTAAGGGCATTCAAAACTCAGGTGCCTGGAATGATTAAAAACTGACTGCCCTAGGTCTCAATCAAAGCTCCGTCGTTGAATTCAACTTGTCCCAAATCCTCCTTTCTGCCTTCCTAAGGCTTAAAGCCTGTAACTTAGAGCTGTAGTATCTTGTGAACATTAACAACTCTCAGCAAACAAGACAGAGGACAAAAATATGGCTTGTAAAGAGATGTCTGTCCATATGTGTTTGTGAAGGTAATCTCAGAAGAACGTTTGCACAGCAGGCCCCAGGAAGGACGCATACATTCTGACCGGTTGGCTCCAAGAGATCTATGGCAGAAAATAGATCAGCTAACTTTGTCAAATTTCAACTTGTTATTGTCATTTGGGAACTCTGGTGACATAAGGCATTTGACTGCAAACCAGAAGGCTGGTGGTTCAAACCCACCAGCCACTCCTTGGAAGGAAAACTGGGCAATCTATTTGCATAGTGATACCACCTTGGAACCCAAGGAGGGGTCGCTATGAGTCGGATCTGACTTGATGGTAATGAGTGAGTGAGTGATTGTCATGTAGATTATATGGTTGTTATGAGAAGCTGAACTATATGAAGAAGAATATGGCATCAGGATTGGATGAAGACTCATTAACAACCTGTGATATGTAGATGACACAACTTTGCTTGCTGAAAATTAAGATGACTTGAAGCACTTACTAATGAAGATTAAAGACTACAGTCTGCAATAGGGATTACATCACAACATAAAGAAAATGAACATCCTCACAACTGGACCAATAAGCAGCATCATGATAAATGGAGAAAAGATTCAAGTTGTCAAAGATTTCATATTAGTGGTTTCACAATCAACACCCATGAAAGCAACAGTCAAGCCATCAGACTACGTATTCCACTGGGCAAATATGCTGCAAAAGACCTCTTTACAGTGCTGAAGACCAAATACGTCTCTTTGAATTACCTTAGTCTTAAGGTACCCCTAACCCAAGCCATGGTGCTTTCAGTTGACTCATATGCCTGTGAAAAATGGACAGTGAATAAGGAAAACCAAAGAAGAGTTGATGCTTTTTGAGCTGTGGTGTTGGTGAAGAATACTGTAAGTTCCACGGATTGCCAGAAGAAGTAACAAATCTATCCTGGAAGAAATGCAGCTGGAATGCTCCTTGGAAGAGAGAATGGCCAGCCTTCATCTGACCTACTTTGGTCATGTTGTCAGAAGGGACCATGCCCTGGAGAAGGATGTCATGCTTGGTAAAGTGGAGGGTCAGAGAAAGAGGGGAAGGCCCTCAATGTGATGGACGGACACAGTGGATGTGACGATGTGCTCAGGTCTGGCAGGGACTGAGAGGCTGGCACAGGACCAGGCAGTGTTTTGCCCTGTTGTACACAGGATGGCTATGAGTCGGAGCCGGCTCAATGGCACCTAATAACAACAACACTGTCTTGTAGCGTGCGTAACCCCAGCCCCCATGACTGTGGCCAAACACCCCTTCCCCACTTTGTGATCGAGGCTCCAGCTGCCTCAGAGCATTGCAGAGCCCTCACTAAGCCTCACCCCGACTGGAGTCTTGCCTTCAATAAAACGCTTTGCTTTAAGTTTGGCAGAGACTTTGGTTTGCTCTTTGCCAACCCTGATGCCCCTTGGCGCTGCTGTGCTGGACGCCTCCCGGGGCTCAGATGCCACAATTGCCCAGGTCCTGGGGAGCCACAGGGGCAGGGCCAAGAGGGTGCCACAGTGGGACCTGTGGGCAGAGGCTCTCTGGGCCACAGCACCCTCATCCCAGCCTCCAGGCCCCTGGTCCCCTGGTGCCTTCCCTTGGGGCTATATACCCTCCAGCCACTTCAGGGGGTGCCAATGAGCAGTCTCCATCACCAGCTATGAGTCATTCAGCACTTTAAAGCTAATTGCCATGGGCGCTATTTCCCTTACATGCCCCTCTGCCTGGGCCAAGGCTAGCCCACAACACTCACTGTGGATAGCCCTTTTTAATGCCACTGTCAGAGACAAAGGTGCCCTCAACGGACCTGCGACAGAAAGGTGCATCTAAGTGCCCCCACCCAGGTTATCTGAGGAAGCATCCCGCATCCGCCCTCCAGGCCCCCTGCTCCCCTTACGGCCTTTCCTTGGGGCGGGGGTGAGAGGAGGTCACGTCTAGCTCTTTGGGTCACACCGCACTGAACTCAGGCAGAGCTGACCTGGATCTCAGCCTCTCTGCTGACCCAGGAGTGACCGTCCTTCCCCGTGACCACTGGGAGGTCTGGTTTCTCCATGGTGTCCATGTGTGTAACTCAACGAGCGAGGCCAGCTGGCATCCCAGGGGCAGGTCATCTTGGTTAAGGAACCTTCATGCAAAGGATTCTGAACAAAGAACTCCATTTCTCTTTGAAAACCCAAACCCTGGATTTTTCTAATCTGATTCTCAAACTTTTCTGTTGGCCTGAGACAGGCCAAGCTGGCCAAGGCAGGCCCAGAAATGCAGTTGCAAGCAGGGCCCAGTGGTATCTGCCCTCTTGGCTTGGGCCTGGCAGGGCCGCTGCAGTCTGGGCAGTTGGGGTCCCACATCTGTACCTCAGAGGTTCCAGGAGAGGCCGCAGGGGTCACCAGGCAGCCTGGGCAACTCTGCCCCCAATGCTGGCTGCTCCAGCCCCCTCCCTGCCACTGTCCAGACAGCAGCCCCGAGCTCACTAGGAAGACGGGCTCTTTGAGCCATGAAACTGGTGTGTTCCCCAAAGGTCCCTCAAGAATTGTGGCAACACCACAGGCTTCTCCCAGCTCTGGGCAGGGTCAGGGCAGTGTGGCACCTTGTCCCAAGCACAGCTCAGAGGGACAGGCTCATAGTCGTCACAGCTGTCCTATGACGGGGAGCTGGCGTCAGCCCACTCTCCGAGGAGACTGGGCTCCACAGAACAGAGGGGAGGTGCAGCTCACCCCCAACCCAGGCTGTGCCCCAGACCAGCTTCCCACCCCCAGTTTCAGAGTACACACACACAGCCAGGGACGTGGGGACCCCACTTCACACCAATCCTGCAGGGCAAGTGCTACCCCAGACTCAATTCCAGCCTGAACCCCCGATGGGCAGCAAAGGGAGGTGGCAGGGTGCTCCAGAGATAGTACCGCCCCTCGGGACAGGACGGCCCTTCAGGACAGGGCAGCCCCCTGGGGCCAGGAGGGCCTTTGGGACAGGGCGAACCCCCTGGGAGTAGGCCAGCCCCCTCAGGACAGGAACATCGCCTCACCTGGATTGGAAGCCGATGGGCAGCAACAAGAAAGGGCTGGCTGGGCGTGTGTGTCGACTGTCCACAGGGCACCTGTCAACTGCCCCGCCCGCCCCAGTCATCCGTCACCGCCCACCTGCACCTGGGCCCACGGCACCCAAGCAGCTGACAGGTGTTACACAGCAGCCACCGCTGCCCGCCTGGTCCTCTCACTGACACATCCTCTCACCGACACTGACCTCTATCCCTCGCTGGCCTTAACACCTGCAGTGCCGTACCCAGGTCCACCAGGTGCAGCCTCAGGTGGGGGATAGAGGGTTGGGAAGAAAAAAAGGGGGGAGGGGAGGACTGAAAGAGGGGAGGGACAGTGCCCTTAGCTCTCAGGATCACAAGGAGGGCAGAACTGGACCTCCCTGGGGACAAGGCAGGGAGGGCAGGTGCTTGGAGGGAACCCGTGCCCCCCACAGCCTCCAGCCCCCTTGTCCACCCAGCCCTCTG